GGGTTTTCCCTCTGTCTTCCTTCAAGATTTTCTTTATCTTTGATCTTATGTATCTTGAATATGATATGCCTAGGGGTGTGTGTGTGTGTATTTGTACCACATGGTATTCTCTGCGCTTCCTGGATCTGTGGCTTGGTGTCTGTCATTTTAACTTTGGACATGCTCAGCCATTAGTACTTCAAATATTTATTTTCCTTTATCTTACTGGCATTAAAATTATGCATATGTTATACCTTTTGTAATTGTCCCATGGTTCATGGATATTCTGGGGTGGTTTTTTTTTTTTTTTTTTCCATTCTTTGTTTCTCTTTGTATCTCAGTTTGGAAAGTTTCTATTGACATATCCTCAGATTTACTCATTCTTTCCTCAGCTGTGTCTGGTCTATTAATGAACCCATCAAAGGCAGTCTTCATTTCTGGTACAGTGCTTTAACTTTCTAGCATTTCCTTTTGGCCCTTTCTTAGAGCTTCCATCTCTATGCTTACATTATCCCTCTGTTTTTGCATGTTTTAAGTTTTTGCACTTTTCCCATTAGTCACCTAACATATTAATCATATTTATTTTAAATTCCTGGTATGATAATTCCAAAATCTCTGCCATGTCTGAATCTGGCTCTAATGCTTGTTTTGTTTCCTCAGACTGTTTTTTTTCTTGTGCATGCCTAGGAATTTTTTTAAATATATATTTTTAAAATATTTTATTTATTTGATAGAAAGAGACACAGTGAGAGAGGGAACAGAAGCAGGGGGAGTGGGAGAGGGAGAAGCAGGCTTCCCGCTGAGCAGGGAGCCTGATGCGAGACTCGATCCCAGGACCCTGGGATCATGATCTGAGCAGAAGGCAGACACTCAACAACTGAGCCACCCAGGCGCCCATGCCCAGTAATTTTTTGCTGAAAGCTGGACATGATGTACTATATACTAGTAACTAAGGTAATTAGACTTTTAGTGTAAGATTTTATGTTAATTTGGCTAGGCTTGTGTCTAATGCTTGCTGTAGCTGTTGGTGCCAGAGGTTTTGGTTTTCTTTAGTTTCTTTGCTTTTTTTCCTCCCTGAAATCTTTACATTTCCCTAACTATAAGAAGGACGTTTTATAGAGTTTGTGTCTTGCAGCTTGTTGTAATCTGCTGTTATTATACTGCAGCCCTGTTGGTGTGGTAGTCTAATATTGGAAAGGGGAACTATTGTATGATCTTATGATTAAATCTCAGCTTTTCAAGGGGCTTGAGTCCTTGGGCTGTGATCATCAGAAGTACTTCTTAGCCCTTACTGAGGCAGGAAGGCTAGAGGGGCTGGAGCTGCCAAATTGCCCTTCCTCCCGGTTCAAAAAGGCTCTGGTATGTAGTTTTTCTAAGAGTGCAGGACTTTGGGCACCTGGATGGCTCAGTTGGTTAAGCGACTGCCTTCGGCTCAGGTCATGATCCTGGAGTCCCGGGATCGAGTCCCGCATCGGGCTCCCTGCTCAGCAGGGAGTCTGCTTCTCCCTCTGACCCTCTTCCCTCTCGTGCTCTCTCTCTTTCTCTCTCTCTCAAATAAACAAATAAAAAATCTTAAAAAAAAAAAAAAAAGAGAGTGCAGGACTTTGTTATGGAGAATGTTCTGAGTGTACTCTAAAATGTTTACTTTTCCCCTCTCCCTGCCCCAGGCTGAAGGAGTTTCCTCCCACCCCTATCTTTAATGTTAGAACATGGTGGAGTTCCTGGAGGTAAGATCCATGAAAATGTGGCCCTCTAAGATTAGGCCCCCAGGAATTTTCAAAGCACGAGTTAGTCCATGCTAAGCCTCCAGTTCATCAAAATTACCAGTTAAGAGTCTGTATCAGAAGCACCTTCTGCTTCAGGTAAGCTCATACTTGCCATGATTTTCTGTATTAGCCTGTCTCTCCAAATTTTGGGGTGTGGTTTCCTTTGTGACTTCAATTCTCTGATGGATCTAAAAAAAAAAAGTTGATTTTCAGTTTGCTGAGCGTTTTTCTTGTGAAGATGTGAGTGAAGGTTTCCAAGCTCTTTCTACGTTACTTCTAAAATGGAAGGTATCGATATAGCTTTTTATCCGATTCTAACCACAAAGTATCACAAACACTAAGATTCCATAGGCAATTTCTTAGAGATGACATCCTCAGAGCTAGAATTCACTTCGTGATGGGGTTCACCAAGTCAGGGAGACTGGGTCCCGGAAATCCAGCTCCAGATGGGGCTATGCTGCTTGGGGTTAACGTGGTGGACCAGCCTCAGCACACTCTGCAATTTTATTTCTTTAGTGAGCACCTACTACGTGCTAGTCTTTCCGTCCCTGGGAACACAGCCCTAAACAGGACTTACAAGCTGTGTGTCTCCATGGGGCTCTCATTCTCGCAAGGTGAGAAAAAATGGGCTGGCGGCGTAGATTACATCAGAGAGAGGGCTGGGGATGAACTAAGACAGGTTACCCACACACACTCAGAAAGTCACACATCACAGAAGCGCACAAAACACCAAGCAAAACCCAAGTCTTCACTCACCTCCTTTCGCTAAGCCTCGGCCGCAGGGCCCTAAGTCCCGCCCACTGTCCACGCGCCTGCGCGCCGCACGCCTCCTGCCATCCTACAGGCGCCGGGGCGAGGGGACCCAGGCCTCCGCCTTGGGCGCCTCACGGCGGCGCCTGCGCACTCGGAGGCTGGCGGGGGCTCCCAGAATCCTCGGGGTTCAGCTCGCTTCAGGGAGGTACGCAGTACTTGGAGCACCCAGAGTCGGGGCTGAGAGGCTTCTGGGCGGCTCTGTTCCGCGCCGGCGGGCCTCTACAGGGAGCTGAGGGTAGCGGTCCCCAGCCCGCAGCTGGGGGGAACCAAGCCGGGCAGCGCGCCGCCCGGTCTGGACTACCCTCCCCAGGGGCCGTTGCGGCGGAGGACACGCCTACTTCCGGCGGGGACCTGGAGTGCCGGCGACAGCGGGCGGGCGGCTGTTGGGAAAGCAGGTCCGCTCCGGAGCCGCGGCTGACTGCCTGATTGGGAGGTGGGGCCGCGCGAGTCCGGCAGCCCGTGGGCGGTGGGGCGTGCGGGAACTGATGACGGCGCGAGGCGGTGCCCCGGACAGCCTCCCGAGGGAGGCCAGCCCGGCGCACTCCCGCGGCCGCCGCCGCCGCGGCCCCGGCGCGGGCCCGGTTGGGGCCGTGAGGCTGGAGGCGTGGACCGGGGCTGAGTGCACAGGTAAGGGTGTCAGGTGGCTGGGGCACGGCGGCGCGAGTGCCGGAGGAGGGCGTCCCCGGCCACGGGAGCCGGCGGACCCAGGAGTCCAGAGTCGGGGGCGTCCCTGCGCCCGGAGCGTGAGGCTGACCTGTCCAGAGAGCCGGTGGATGGGGTCCCTGCGCCCGGAGCGTGAGGCTGACCTGTCCGGAGAGCCGGTGGATGGGGTCCCTGCGCCCGGAGTGTGAGGCTGACCTGTCCAGTGAGTCGGGGGGGGGTGATGTCCCTGCGCCCGGAGCGTGAGGCTGACCTGTCCGGAGAGCCGGTGGATGGGGTCCCTGCGTCCGGAGTGTGAGGCTGACCTGTCCAGAGAGCCGGTGGATGGGGTCCCTGCGCCCGGAGTGTGAGGCTGACCTGTCCAGTGAGT